TTACCTCTACCAGGGCTGGAGAGATCCTGTTCCCAACATGGCTGGAGACTAATTGCCCTGAGACTGAATGCTGAATGCCACATGAGATCCTGAGCTGCTTTTTATATGCCTATCTAGTGCTGGAACTGTGAACAGAGCTCTGTTTCTCTTTTAGACTGATTCATTCTCATGTAACCCTGAGTGGACTTGAACTCACAGAGATCTGCCTGTCCCCTGAGTCATGGGATTAAAGGTGTGTGTCAACGGTGCCTGGCCTCTATGACTGGCTTTGCATTCTGATCTCTAGGCAAGCTTTATTGGATCATAAAAACTGTATCAACACAACAGTTGGCTCTCTGCTTGCTCTTCTTGGCTTAGGTTGTGAAATCTCAGCTTACTGTTCTCATTCGCCTGCTTGTTGACACTTCCTCAGCATGATGGCAATGGATGCTTATCCCTTGGCATCATATGCCCAAATAAACGCTTGGTCTTAGCTGTGGTGTCTTATCACAATAGAAAAGTGGTTAATAAACACTCTGGCCTGGATTGTTGTCTGGGCCAAGGCTTCATGCTCATTGAGGCAGCCCTCTCCCCCCATCACCATCTCAGCCCTGAGACATCTCAGATAAGGCAGGAGCCTCAGGTTCAAACTCCAGGTCTGAACACCAGGGCACCCGGTGCCTCTGCCATTAGCTTTCCATGTCTGTAAGAAATACTTCGTAGAATCACTTTACAAAGAGGACAGGGGTAGAACATCATGGCATGTACCTGTGACTCATCACTCAGGAGATGGAGGCTAAGAGTCAGCCTCATCAACATAGCAAGGTCATGTTTCAAGGGGAAAAATAGACAAAAAGAAGTAACAACAAAAGGAAAGGCTTAGTTATTTTGGCTCATAATTGTAGAGGTTTCTGTCCCTGGTTAATTTCCTCTGGTGCTCTGAGGTGCATCATGGTTGCTGTATGTGGCAAGACCCTTCACCTCATGGATGAAACGAAAGAGGTCAGAGCTGAGGTCCCATTATCCTCCCCAGAGGCACACCCCAATGACCTAATTTCCTACCACTGAGCCCCAGGAGCCCCAGTCTTTTTTTAAGCTTTATTTTATGTGTATGAGTGTTTGCTTGCACACACACACACACACACACACACACACACACACACACACTATGCCTGGTCTGGAGAGGGTGTCAGAGGGTGTCAGATCCCCGGGACCTGGAGTTACAGATGGTTGTGTGAAACACCCAATGGATGCTGGGATCTGAACCTGGGTCCTCTGCAAAAAATAGCAGGTGCTCCTAACCACTGAGCCATCTCTACAGCCCTAGGCCCCCCACCTCATAAAGATCCTATCAGCTTCCAGTTGTGCTGGGACCACAGGGTCTTTGGGAGGCGCTTATCTGAACCAAATGTTTTCTGCAGCCATCCATGAAGAAAGTGGAGGAAAGTAAAAAATACCTAAAGGCACATCTTGGCAAGCTGTTACTGTACAAATACTCTTTGGGCACATCTCCCAAGACTAAGAGCCAGAACATCCCCTCAGAGGGTTCTCTGAGACCCCTCAGTAACTCCTTGAGAAGTACCTCACTCCACAGAAGGGAAGACCGTCACCTGGACTTCCACTGTTAGCCTTTCCTCATTTCTTCTTAGAATTCGCTGTGGCTGATTTTTATGTCTGCTTGCTTGGGTCATGGGGTGCCCAGAGAGCTAGTTAATCTGTGTCTCCGATAGTCATCCTTTGAGTTTTTGGTTTGTGTGAAGAAGACGGTGGGATCATCCAATCCTGCTAGAGACTAACAGCAAAGGGCAGAGAAGGTTGGGCTGGCTGAGTACTGAGCAGTGTGCCCATCTTCCCCTGCCTTGAGTGTTTCCATTTCCCAGGTCTCCCCTTCGCAGACAGAGGCTGTGTGATGTCTTAGCCACCATAAGCTTGTGAATAAGCAATCTATAGATCTCTTTATAGAACTGTGTCCCTGTACCCTCTTCCTTGGAGTCACCTGCTGGCTCCACCTCGTTGACCGCTGCACAGCCCTGTGCAGCTGGATCTCAAAGAGTGGTTGCTTCTCAAAATACTTCACTTGCCCTCTTGAGTTCCTGCCCTGGGTGTGACAAAGACTGGTGTGACCAGAGATAGGAGACTTTGTCCACTGTATTTCATCAGTGTGTCTGTTTGCATGGCTGTGAAATGTTCCGCTGACATATAGGGCGCCCTTTACTTGACTGTTGGCTGTGAGCATCTGGGTGCTCTCCAGGGGCGGGGTGGGGGGCATGGTTGGAGACAGTCCTGCAAGGCAGTCCCAGATGGTCTCCTAGAGAGTGCCTTGACTTCCCTTACAGTCTGTCCCTCCAGTGGGACTTTCGTCCTTGCCACACAGTTTATGTTCCTCCTTGGAAGGGGAGGGGATAAGTGAATTTCGTAAGTGGCCAAACTAGTAAGATACCCCCTTCTTCTTGTTTCTTCTTTTTAACTTCATTTTTACTCACCCTTTGTGTCTTCCTCATCATGCATCTGGATCCCATCCATTTCCTGTCCCTCTACCCTTGCAGCTCACCCCAGTAAACTTTAAGAGAAAAAAGAAAAAAGGGGGGATCTCCGTGGAAGCTGTAGTGTGGCACAGTGAGTCATGTCCATATCTCTTCACTTTCAAGTGTTCATCACAAAGAGTCATCAGTTTGGTTAGAGACATCTAGTTTCTGCTACACTATCGATGCTGAGCTCTCACTGGCACTCTTCTTGGTTATCCTGTGTCCTGTAGATCCTGTAGCTTTGGATCTGCAGGACTGGCCGCTTCACATGCTCCAGCAGACCAAAAATGGGGTGGATATTGGGGTGGGCCAACCTGTAACCCTGGTTCTGGTCCTGGGTAGTTACAGGGTTGGTCAGCCTACCAGTTCTCCCTTGTTCTCACCACAGTGAGCTCTCCTGGATTGCCCTAGCTAGTTGACCCCTTGCTCATCACTGTGCTGCTCTCCCTTGCAGCACAGTGATGAGCAAGGGGCGGGGCCAGTTCTCCTGCTTTCACATCCTCAGGGTTGGATCTCCTACACCTACACCTTCAGGGCCAGCTCTACTGTGTCGCCCAGGCATGGCATAGGCTCCTCTCTCTGGAGTGCTGCAGCTGATGAGGGGCAGGGGCCAGCTCTCACACCTGCCTCAGCCATTGATAGGCAGGACAAACACCCCCACACCCCCTCTACACACACACACACACACACACACACACACACACACACACACACACACACACCTCCTGCCCATGCTACCGTAATGGGTAATGGAAATAGCTCTTCCATGCTCACAATATCAGTGCTGGCTCGCCCACACCTCTGCCAATAAGATTGGCTCTATTGTGCTAACCATACAAAGTGCAGGACCTGCTCTCCCAAGTGTTACGCTGGTGGTGGACAGGAGCAGCTCTCTGGCTCTTCTGACATCAGGGCCTACTCTCATACCTGTTTCAGGTATTGATGGGAGTGTGTGGGGGAGGGCATCTCTCCCCAACCCATACCTCCACATGACAGATGAGTAATGGGGATAGCTTTCCTATGCTCACAACTTTAGGACTTGCTCACCCACAGCTCTGCCGATAGAATTGGCTCTATTGTGTTGTCCAGGGGAGGTGCAGAGTGTTGCACCTGGTGGGGGGTGGGGGCAACTCTCCTGCAATCTGACCTCAGGGCCTTCTTCCCATTTCTAAGTAGAATAGCCAATGTCTGGAATGAGCCCTGGGAAGTCAGGTGTGCCTTCCTAGGAGCACAAACTCTTTACTTTTCCCAGCACAGATAGCAATCCCAGTGAAGCTACTATCTGGTTCCTTTCTGTCTCTTGGGGGATGCAGGGTGTGGGGAGTACATCAGAGGAGAAGTCTGCACCCAGTCATTTCCCCTTGGAATGGGCACAAGCAGATTCCTGGTTGTATAGAATCAAGAAAGGTTCTCTGTTATGGGAAGTGGGGGGTTGGTTAAACAGGCAGTTGGGCATTGGGCCTCCAGGAAATCATCTGCCTTTCTGTAGAAAGATATAGGTTCCCCTTGCAGGAGAAGGATGGGGAACCGAAAGCATTCTGAAGTCCTAAATCACCAGTGGGATTCACCCAGGGCACTGCAACAAACTTGGGGATAGTGATGGAGGCAGTGCAGCAAGCTTTTTTTCCAGCATTGTCTCTTCTGAAAGTGTTGCCAAGTCACATTTTCCTGGAGGAATGCTGCCTTTTTCCTTGGACTCTTTATGTGCAGAGCACTGGGTGCTGCGTGCCCTCTGCTGGCCATCTGGTGAACGGCCCAATCAAGCCTGTGATCTCCCTAAAGAGCCCCTGAAACAGAACTTGTAGTGAACTTAAGGCTAGCTTAGGATGGAAGTGTTACTGACACATATGAAACAGAGAGCTAGCTTAGTCAGTATATCGTGACAGAGCTAAAGCAGGTACACGGAGCAGACAGCTCTCATGCTTACCAGGTGGAAGAGTATTAGAGCTGCCTCTCTGAGGAGAAATGAAACAGGATTGCTAAAACCATTACAAGTGGGGCTGCTTCATAAACAGACAACTCTGGTCAATGTAAACATAAAATAAAAGACTACCTAAATTCTAGAGAAGTGTTTAGAAACTCAGAAACACCATTATGAGAAGGCACACCATTGCAGGAAGATGTATTCGGCTTGAGCACCTGCCAATAGGAAATGTACCACAGTAAGGGTAGCAAAATACAACAGATACATCAGATTATGGTGAAATTGTAAAACCAGAGGGTAAGAATGCTATACACTATAGAGAAAGGCTAGTTAAGTACAACAGCGCTTTACAAAGTGGACCGCAAAACGGTGGTATGCTTAAGAACGCTTTTTTTTTTTTTACAGAACATTTCTTTATTTTTCACTACGACTTTCCTAGAGAACATAACTAACCTTGTCGCCACCCCCACCCCCCACAAAGGGTTAGTGCACTCACTGCACTGTAGAGCAGATACGAACAATTTCAAGGACTGGAACCAACCTTAAATGGCAAAAAACACTTTCTCTCTGAATTATCATAAAAATGTTTTAAGTAAAAAAAGAAAGAAAATGAGCAAAGGGGCAATGGTGGTTTCAGAATGAAAAGGTCATTCACGTTTCACGTCATACATTCAATCTTGGCTCTGTAACAAAATGGAAACAGGATTACTATCATACAAAATGTTCACTACAGTACGCTGTATGCACCTGTTTCAAGCCCAACCCTAGCCCCTAATGCTTCCAACTCAATTACTTCCCAGCCTGTTGTGCCTGTCGACGAAGGAGCACGTAGATCTTCTCTTTGATCCAGTCTTTGTTATAAGGCTGATACGTCTGTGTATCAGCTCGGTACACAAGACAGCTGAGGTCTGCCAGATCGTCAATAAAATCAAACAACTGGCTGATATCATATGTGATGGAGGGGCTGTTGGGATTCATTCTCTTCAGGTGTTCTTCATACACTTTACAAACACCTTCCATGCACTCATTCACAGACTCATAGTCAGCGTAGGTCCTGCCTTCTGGCCTCTTGGTAGGCTGTACCAGCAAAATGGTGTGAGACATCGCGCCGAACACTTTGCTGCAGCTGCCGCTAACACCGCCGCCGCACACCGCTTAAGAACTCTTTCTGCTCAAGCCTGCCCAGATGGATGCCCACGCTACTTGTGGTTGTACACTGTGTGTAAGGTGTCCCCTCTGGGTCCCTCAGGAAGGGACAAGGGTATGCTTTCCACAGATCCTACAGGGGAAGACTTCACAAGAAGCCTGCATGAGAGAGTCATCTGAGGTTGCCAAGAAAAGATTATGTGATCTTCCAAAGTCTGCTGCCATCTTATCACTGAGCAGAGAAAAAACAAAGCAAAGGAAGCAGAACAGAGCACACATGTGCACGTGTGTGTGTGTGTGTGTGTGTGTGTGTGTGTGAGAGAGAGAGAGAGAGAGAGAGAGAGCCAGTGCACACATGTGGGAGTGTGTGCCTATATGTGTGTGACTTGTGGGGGGCTGAAATCGGATCCAGTTTGGCTGGCAGCTAATCTACGGCTGAGATGGTCAGACAGTAGGTTCTTTCTCTGTTAGATTAACTTGTGGTTTTGTGTGTAACAGAAGGGATCCACGTACACCAAACACAAGCTCCTCAGCACGTTTACTTTCTTTGAGTTGGTCACTAACAATGGCTTTCTCTGTGCTGGCACCTGATACCTAGGTTCTGGCCTGAGCATTGACATTCTGATTTCCCTCATTTGGGCTCCACACTGGCTCCTTTGCACGCTTGGAGAAGCAAGGCTTCCTCTGAGAAGTCTTGTCCAGCCACCCGGCTGAGGGACATCATACTGTCGGAGTTTCTGTTTGCTCTAGAGTACCTGTCCTTTCAGTTCTCAGGCTCCAAGACATACAAGTGCCTTGGCTTTCCCTCTTCTGAGAAGACATGTACATAGGCACATGGCAGGCAAGAGGGCCTGTGTGGATCTGATAGAGACTGATCTCTGCCGGGGAGGGCGCTTTTCGTCTCATTATTTTTCCTCTCATCATGGCTGGCTGCACCAAGACCTCCTTCAGAGGACACGCTGCAGGGCCAGGCTTTGGCCAGCCCAGGTCACTTCCTCTGTGAGTGGGCACTGTTATCTGCAATCAGCTTGAAGCTGGGCACTAAAGCTTGAATACCAGCTCCTAATGGGACATGGAGGGCCAAGGGCATGCAATCAAAGTCAGCTTCTAATGGAACTTGGAGGGCCAAGGACATGAAATCAAAGTCAACTTCTAATGAGACATGGAGGGCAAAGGGCATGCAATCAAAGTCAGAGCAGACACAAGCTTTTGGACACAGACAGTAAACAGGGCTGAGATCTGTGCTCAGGAATGAATAGTAGGTAACAAAGTCTATGGCTTGCTTGGGCCAGATAGGAGGTTCGGGTTAATGTGGGTCAGACCCAGATGGCTTAGGATAGCAGTGGCTGGAGGGCACCACATGGTGGACACTCCTATCCATCCAGCAGTGCTTGCTAGTCCCCAGAGTCCATCAGCACAGATGGGACTTATCAGTGGAGGCCTGCAACCTGCCTCAGGACAAGGCCTGTAGGTCATAATGAGGGTGGCAGGTATCACTGTGTTTATTGTTCGAGTTGCCTTCTAATGAGGATGAGGGATTCTGACTTCCTACTTGGAGTTATAGTTATATAGGAAGTTTCTTTTGCAAATAAATTTGTATAAGTAAATCAGACTACTAAAAGAAAAACAGCACATAGCAAGTGACAAAACCTGCAGTGAGTTGGGCATTGGTGGCACATGCCTCTAATCCCAGCACTCAGGAGGCAGAGGCAGAGGCAGGTGGATCTTTGTGAGTTCAAGACCAGCCTGGTCTACAAAGTTACCAAAAACCAAAACAATACCTGCAGTGGCATTGCAGGTCCCAAGTGGAGAGGCCACATGTGACAGTGGGTCAGTATAACCCAGCTATAACAGGGATGGGCCTGCTGAACATGCTGGGGGAGTGGGGGAACTGGTCCTAGCAGCTCCAAAGCAGAGTCACAGGAGCTAAGAGTTGGGGAGCACAGCTGAGCATGCCCCCCCCACACAGGTCATGGAGCCTGCAATCTGGAGCCCAGAAGCCAGGCATCCATCTTGACCCTGTCCCTCCCAAGTCCAGCTAGAGGACCACCAAGGGCACCTAGAATCTGAAACCAGGATTCCTCCATCTGTCTTGCCTGTTGGAGCATGTCACCATGCTGTAATGGGTAGTTCAGACACCATGCAATGCCCCTTAGTGTTTTCCACATCTGTAAACAGATGGGTGGCATGGCCCTGAAAATCTCTTCTGGGTGAGGGATCCAAGAACAACCACCCTCCACCCTCCAGCATGAGACCCTGTGACAAAGGTGAGGACTTGGGGATAAACAGCCTAAGCTTCACTTCCTACTCTACTGAGTGGGAGTTACATGACCCTGGGAAAGTCACTTTACCACCTCAGGGTGTCTGTCCCAAACCGTAAGTGAAAAGAGAGTGTGGCCTGGGCAGGGTAGAGCTGGCAGTACCAGGAGAGAAGTCTGGCACGTAGCATGCATGGACACAGGGTGTAATGGGGATGCCCATGTCTACCTGGAGGGCTCACACGGGAGCCTGGTCCCCAGGCTTTGATGCCAAACACACAGAGCAAGTCTGTGGGCATGGCTGTGAGCCTTCATGCTACTTCTGTGTTTATCTCACTGAGGAATACTTGAGAAAAACAAATTAAAGAAGGAAAAATTGGTGTTGGTTCAGGGTTTCAGAGGCCAGAGTCTGTGTGTCTCTTTGGCTGAAGGTGGGCATCCCATTGGACCCTGTGTTCATGGATGTTGTGTGACAGGCCTCTCTTCTGGTACTGTCAGTCTATGGCATTCTGACTCTGTTTCTGGGCTGTGGTAAAGATACCGTGATGGAGAGGGAGCAAAGTGCTCCCTAAGACGCTGCTGTGCTCCTCCTTGAACACTAAGGGCAGGAACTCTGTGCCCCTCCTCGGGAGCTGGCTTGAGAAAGAGAGGTCCAGCCCCAGCTGCCACTATTCCAATGCCCTGTGGAACAAGGACTAAGGAAGGCACTGATGGGAGGAACTCTGGGAAACAGGGAAGTGGAGTGCTGCATAGACTCGCAGTGGGAGTAGAGGTACCTCTTGTGGGACCGCACTGAGCAGCATGGAAGCTCCCTGGAGGAGTCACCTGAAATCCAGGACACAAGAAGGCCTGTGACTCCAGGTGCCAGGAGGAGGTGGCTGACATGGCAGTTATCACAGGCTACCATCATGGCTGAACATAGTGTGCAAGCAGCAGACACTACAAAGGTCATGAAGGCTACTGGGAGACCCAAGCAGGTGCTGTAGATCACTGCCCTCCAAGCATAAGCGCCGGCCATTATCGTAGCCATCAGAGCAGCTGTGACCACTGGCAACAGCCCCTCTAGAGCCACCTGTGGACCTTCCCTCATAGAAGATGCTCAGATGCTCACCTGAGGTTCCTGCCACGCCTCCATATGCCTCCCTTCCAGCTGTGTGTAATTCTGCCCAGGGTTGCAAGTGGCCTTGTGGTCCCAGAAGGTGCCAGAGCTCATAGACTGCAGAAGGTTAAGTGAAGGGGGATCCCGTCTATGCAGCTATGGGGAAGTCATCATCTATGCCAGAGCAAGGATTTTCTGTGTTGCCACTGCTTTGGAGTCTCCTTCTCCCCCTCTTCCCCTCCTCTACCCTGCCTCTCTCTCTCCCTCTCTCTCTTTCTCACACACACACAGATAGACAGAGTAACCCCTCACCTGTGCTCTGTAAGTAAGCTCAATAAATGTATGTTTCACCAAATTGAATTTTGGTGGGATCAAGCTGTTCTTTCACTGAAGCACCATTTGATGTTTATTCAAATTTGTCCAAATGAAAAGTTCACACGACAGGAGGGAAGCATCGGGCACCATTAGCAAGAGGTGAGCAGGGGTCTTGCAGCTGCTTTTGCCTTTCTCAGATTAACAGGACAAGTCCTTCCCTGCACACTGCGGGACTGGTCCTTCTTGAGAGGCACTGAGGGGAACCCCCTACATGATGCTGTAGCTATTCTAGTATGTACACTGAACACCCCTCTACACTCACATCCATGCATCCAATGCATTTAGTCCCCCGACACATGGCTCAGTCATAGTTTTGTGATGCACATTTTAGTGCCGAACACTCTCTTTGAATAAGATTCCTTTTATCTCCATTACAGTGGCAAGGATGGATATCTCTACCAGAGAGCACTTGAGCCCAGCCTCCTTGCTGGAGCTATTTTGGACCAAACTATGGTTAGCCAACCTGAGGTGTGGGTGAGTGCTAGATTGCAGTCCTGATTTCCGGAGGTTTCCCACCTCAGTCTTGTCATCATTGTCCTCAGTTGCAGGGTGGAGTGTGTATGAGTCTTGGCCCATTTTCTGTCCAGTAGCCAGCCACCACACACGGCATGATTCAGAAAGAACAGAAGCTTGTTCAGCTCTTGGTTCTGGAGGTCCAAAGTCAAGGGCTGTTTCTGATAAGGGACTTATAAATGGTGGGTCTCTGCAGCGTCCCAAGGCTGTGCAGAGCATCACAAGGAAAGACAGAGCAGGCAGACTCCGCTGACGGAGTCACCAGTGCAATTGCAGGGGCCTGTTTCTCATGCTCTGGTCTGGTGCCCATTTTGTCCCAAAGGTACCACCTCCAGACACCATACAAGTTTCCACCCCAGGCAGTCCTGGAACACACGATCCTCCGGCCTCCGCCTCAGCCACCCTCGAGTGTTGGGATTACAGGTGTGCACCACCACTCAGATTCCACCTTCTTAATATTTCACAATCAGAGTTCAAAGTGAGGGCATTCAAATCATGGCAGTGGTTTTGGCTCAACCAGTTTTGAGCCTTACAGTGAGAATCCAGTTCTTTGGTCACTCACCTTTTTCCCCTAGAGTTTCCTATTTAGCTCTCTATATAGCACTGTTTTCTTTGCTGCGTTTTATTGAGTACATTTTAGACTTGAAGGAATAGCTTACAAAATCAGTACAAACAGACACAGCTTTTAATTTCCCGTAAGACCTGCTTTTCAAGAAGCCCAGTATTTCCCACTTGCTGTGTCTTCCTGGAAAAGCTGCTTGAGGGAAGGCTTTCTGTCTTCTTTATTCTAAAGACCTTCATGGGGCCATTATGGCAGTTGCCACAAGGGGTCGCTGTTGAACTTGATTTGGGTGCAGTTTGGTGAATGCCTATCCTGGAAGACCTAACTTCCTACACCAGGTACCAGCTCAGGTCAAGTGGTGCCTTGGTCTCTTGGTTCACTCACTCTAAATTCAGCAGCTGGTTAAGTCTTCACGCCAGACTGTACCATCAGCTCGGCTCATTCGTCCAGATCTCCATTCACAACGAAGTCTGAGGCTGTCTTCTCCTGAAAGTAGGCTTCATCAGAGCATCCCACGCTATCAGAGCTTCCATGGACACGGACTCTCGGGGAGAGCTGTTAAGGATTTCTTTACTTCCCCAGAGCCCATCCCTTATCTCACTCCACTTCCTTCCCTCTGTGTGTACAAGGCCCGAGGGAGCTGACAAAGGCACAGCTGCCTTATGGTGAAAAGCCACCCCTGGGCAACGCGGCTGGACACTGCTACTGGCAACTTCATTTACAAACACCACAGTGCCTCAGCGCCTTGGGCTTGTGTGGCTTTCTTTATCCTTTTACTTTTTGAGACTCAATTTTTTAACACCTAGATTGGTCTTAAACTTGTGATTCTCGTGCCTCAGTCTCCCTACTTGAACTACCACACCCGAGTCCCCAGCATCCTTTTGCCTTTCAAAGAGTGGCCACCCTGGGGGTAGGCTGGGGGACTGGCTTCTCCTGAGCACCACGTGGCTGACACTGATGCGAGGAGCTAGGACTCTGGGCTAATGGGTGGAAATTTGCAACTGATGCTAGGGTGATAGGAGCAGGGGGCAGGAGGAGGGAGCAGCTTTGAGGAAGCACATTACACATTTGTGCATGGTGAGCCTGCAAATTTCTCCCCTGGCTGCTTACAAAAAAGGGCACTTTTTTTTTCTTTTATTTTAGTATTAGGGATTGAACCAAAGGCGTCTCATATGCTTGGCAAGCATTCTGCCATTGAGCTACATTCTCTTTTGAGACAGTCTCACCAAATTGCCCAGGCTGGCCTCTAACTCATTCTGTGGTAGGCAAATCCTCCCTGTTCCGAGATGCCAGCGTCCAAAGTACCTGCAACGTTTTGACAGCTAAGCTTGTGGGCTGAGGGTTCCGAGAACCTTACACCCAAGAGGTCGCAGGAACCCCTCTGCTTAGCAGACACAGTAAAGAGGGGCTTGTCCAAAGCTGCCCAGCAAAACCCACCCGCGATGGCCCCAAGCAGCCCGCCAGCGATGGTGACCCAGGTCACTGTCCAGCCAGGGAAGCTGCCAGGCCGGCTCAGGACAGATACTCTCGCACCGTGAGCTCCTTTAGGGTGAAGCCCCTGTGTGTGGGCCTCCGGAGCTGGCTGTCATCCAGCCTGCTCTGCAGCGATGCGAAGTCCTTGCCCAGCGCGTAGGCCAGGCGCACCATGGCGTCCAGCAGCGGGGCATAGTAGCGGTGGCTCTCGCGGGCCCGCAGGCGTTGCAGCGCGCGCTCGCCCACAGCGAAGGCCTCGGCCGGCCGCTCCAGGTCGCGCAGACACACGAGCATGGCGCAGAGCGCAGGCACCGTGGCGCTCGGGCAGTGCGCGGTCAGTTTCTCCTGCAGCGGCAGCACGCGGCCCAGCAGGTCGAGCGCGCGTGCGTACTGGCCAGCGCGCAGGCAGCCGAAGGCCTCGCGCAGCTCGGGCCGCGTCAGGAAGTCGGCGAACTCGCGCGAGCGGCGCACGGCGCGCACGGCATTCAGCAGCCGCAGGTAGTCGCGCAGCTCCAGGCGGCGCTCGCAGATGGTCTCGGCAGACAGGTTCCCTGTGAGGCGCTTCCGCGGGAAGGCCACGTCCTCCAGCTCCGGCCCGAAGCGCTTCAGGAGGGCCTTCTGCAGCCTCTCGAAGTCCGAGTAGCGCCGCTCCACCACCGCCTTGTTGCTGTCGAAGCTCCCGGTCTGGATGACCACGACCTGATACATCTGCAGGCAGAAGGAAGAGGACACTCCGAATGCACACTGTGTGTGTGTGTGTGTGTGTGTGTGTGTGTGTGTGTGTGTGTGTGTGTGTGTGTGTGTGTGTGTGTGTGTGTGTGTAGATCAGAGGACAACTTGTGGAATTGGTCTCACCTTCCATCATGGGTATCGAACTGAGGTGCTTTTACTGTCTGAGCCATCTGATGGGCCCTCTGCCATTTTCGTGCATGCATATAACATATTTTGAGGATCGTCACACAACACCACCCACCTCACCATACTCTTGTGCCTCCCCTGTTGTAGCGGCAAATGTTGGCCCTAGAATAACAGTACTTCGAAGCATCTTGGGCGAAAAAGAGCACAGGGACTCGTTGGTGGGGCTGGCTTTTTATCTGAAAACAAAACAAAACAGGGCTCCGTTCTGAAGCATGGGCTGGAATTGGGAGTGCTGGTGTGGGACACTTAGGCACATTAGTTTTAGTTTGGCAATTTAGTCCCTTTGAGCTTCAGATTCCCCATCCCTAACTCAGGGATAGGGTTAATTCCTGTTTTCTTCATGAAGATTAATTAAGTGAGTCAACTCACTGATCTGAGGGAGAGAGAGCTGTGCCCAGCATGTACTGGTGACTCCTGTAACTCTACTGGTCCCAGTGAGAACGAGTGGCCAGGTGCCCTGGTCCCAGTGAGGCCAAAATGTCTGGGGTTGGCGTGACTCTTCTATCTTTCTCGAACAGGCGGATATCCCCATCTCACAAAGATGTCAACTCCCAGCAGAGCGCTTCCCACAGCCATGACCAGCTGCTAGAATTTATTAAGAGTTCACCTTTCTTTTGTGTTTACTTTTGTAACTGTTTTTTTCTTGATGTCATGGGAAACTGATCTTTCACTAAAATGTAGTGGGGTTTTTTTGTTTGTTTTTTTGTGTGTGTGTGTGTGTGTGTGTTTTTTTTTTTTTTTTTTTTGAGAAATTAGAAAGTAAAGGAAGTAGTGTGAGTGATATCCCAGAACTGGTGGAGAGGGGATGCAGATAACTGGCACCTGGTATGATGGGATCAGAAACATGACTCACACATCTCTAATCTCCAGGGGACCCTGCACGTGGCACCATGAAACCTTAATTTCTCAGAAGACCGGGAGTTAGTGTGTCATGTCCTGGGTGGAAAGTTGAGGTTCTCCCAATACCTTCCCAGGAGCATGTAAGGTGGCTACCAGGGTCTCCATCACATCTAAGCTCTGCTTACCACGAACTTGGAGACTCTCCTCTCCTCAATGCGGGCTGAGGCGATCTCAAAGAGCAGCTTGACATGTCGCCAGCGGCTCTTCTCCTTCTGCCAGTGTTCCTGCAGCTCCCTCGTGGTCATGCTGGAGTTGGAGCTGGGGCTATCCTGGGCTTCTGGAAGGACAGTGTCTTTAAGGATCTGGGGAGATGACTGGGTCTGCTTGGGATGGGCAGTCAGAGTTCTGGAAGATCATACTCTACCTCCCACCCTCACTATTGGGGCATCAGCCAGGCCCCTAACCTCACATAATCCAGCACTTGATGGCTTCTTGTTAGGAAGTGCGGTGTGGGAGTGTTGCATTACCCACTTCTGGCCTGCTGATGGACCATTTTGTAACCTGGCAAACAGGGACCCATCCACATCTGCTTCTGTACTCCCTACAACATTGACTCCAGGGAGCCCATTAGTGCACATCAGTGTAGTGGAGGAAACCCTGAGGAGGTCATGTTTCAGCCTCAACTGGGGTGGCCATTACTACATGAACACTTTCAGGGGCCCCTGTCACTCTGCTTTGAATTCAGTTCTCTTGTTTCCCTGCCTGGAAACCAACAGTGTTTTGTATTTTGTTGTTGTTTTGTTTTGAGAAAGGGTTTCTCCATGTAGCCTCAACTATCCTAGAACTCTGTAGATCAGGCTGGCCTTGAACTCACAGAGATCTGTTTGCTTCTACCTCTGTCTCCCACGTGCTGGGATTAAAGGCATGCACTACCACCACCACCACCACCCAGCTTTCAACAGTGTTTCTTAAGCTTCATTTGAGCCCCACACCCACCTGAGAATCTGTGTAGTTTCCTCTAACACTATTGCATAAACAATTGTGCATTTATTGCAAGAGGTACAGGCCTGGGAAATCCTTATCTATGTGACTTACATGTTACCCCACCACCACCACCCACCCCTTGATACTGGAGTAAGTGCCTCCCATTTAGTTCCAGTAGCCTTCTTGTGACACTTCTAATTCGTTTTCACTAATGTCTTTCTATTGAGCTTGAAGGCCAGGAGAGTGATCAGTTTTACTTTCCATGTCTGGCACATGTCAGGCTTCTGCAGGTCCACCTTGACCGGGTGTAAAGAGAGATTAGTCCAGGAGATGGCACTATTGCAGGCATTGCCAGTGCCACTGTTCTGGAATGTGCTATTGGATTCTTAAGGGAAGCCCCTTGACTCAGAGCCCTGGGGCCTCTTAGGACCACAGCAACATGCTTGGGTGTCTCTTCAACATTTGCAAGAAGGGATGATGGACAATCTCTGGGTTCTTTGTCCCTTGGATGCACACTTAGTTATATCATTCAGACTGAGTCCCAGTCACCTACCCCAGTCATGTGACCCCCCCCCCCATACATGGTGTAGCTCTTGTTCCCAGTCCCCACTCTGCCTCTGAGGGTTGTCTCCCATGTAAACAGCCTGTACCAAATCCTTGTCTTGGGGTTACTTAGGGGTGTCCCCAGTTAGCTGCCCTGTTATCTTTGTGTAGCCATTGAAGACTTTCAGATGTCTTTGAGCTAACTTCTACCTTGCTCACTGAAACCCAAGCGCTCAAGTTTACCTAAGTGTTCTTCTGGTCCTGGACATGGGAGGTCTGGGCCTGAGGGCAATGCTTCTTGCCTGGTCCTTGGCGTGCATTGGCTTATGGGTCCTGTCCAGCCAGGGCTCCCAGGATGCTCTGGACTTGCCATGCTCCAAGGCTGCTAGAGGTGCAAGAAAGAATAGTGACAGCCAAGTCATGCTGGGGCTCCTGCAGGATCTTGGGGTGCCTGGGATTCTGGTTGTGATCTATGCTGGCAGGCATGGAGGAATGACAAAGATCACCTTGCTTGGTCCTCTGCTACTTACCTAGCCAGATCAAACCTAGCCTTCCCCTCTGCTGGACAGAGTTAGGGTTGTGATCCATGGAGTATACAGTTGCTCTGGGTTTCTTTTGGAATAGCATATAGTGACAGCAATAATTTTGGGGATTTACCAGGAGTAAGATGCTGGCTAGTCCAGATAAATGTCTCACCACCCAGTTTTATATTACAGTGCAGACCCCCCCATCTATCTACCTAAGTAAATATTTAATATGCCTTGTTCATCTCATCTGGTTCTTCATAGTTTGTTTTTTCAAGACAGAGTTTCTCTGTGTAACAGTCCTGGTTGTCCTGGAACTCTCTCTGTAGAACAGGCTGACTTGGAACTCACAGAGACCCATCTACCTCTGCCTCCTGAGTGCTGAGAGTAAAGGTGTGCACCACCACTGCCTGGCTCACTCTTCCTTTTTAATAGAACACCCACGACACTTTCCCATTCGTGCCATATAACAGATAAGGAAACAGGTCTAGGCCACGGTCTTGTGGTTGGGGAGTGTACGAAGGAGCTAGGAGGAATTGCTTCCAAGACAGACACACGGAATTTGTCTTTACATGTTCTCAGTCTGATTACCTTTCTTTCCAGGGACTGTCTATATTCTCACTTTGTGGAGAGGCACTAAAGGTGCAGGGCTGTCTGACAGCAAGGCTGAGGTGTGGCCTGGGACACGAGCCCAAGTTGGCTGACTACAGGATCTTTGCTCTTACAGAAGTGGACAGGAGGCAGACAGCAGGCCAGCAGGCTTCTACTGTCTAGTCTGTGCACATAAGGAAATGGATGACTCGGTAGCTGTCAAGCCACCTAGCTTCTCTACGTCCCAGTGTCTTATAAAATGGGTATAATATCAGAACCCAACTTCACAGACTGGTGTGAGGATTAAACTAGGCCTACCCCATAGAGCTTAGACTCAGGACCCTTCCCACACCAGGGACTGCATAGTCCTTCTGATGCTGGGATCTGCAACTTAGATGAGGAATAAAAGCAAACTTTCAGATGAACAAATGGCTGGGCACCCTTCTAGGCACATGTGTTAGGTTTTCTTTTCGTTACTTATAACGTCTGACGGAAACAACTGTGGGGGGGGAGGCAGGGGGGCTTTATGATGCTCAGTTTCAGGTTTCAGCTCATTCCAGATAGGTGATCAGGAAGCAGAGAGGGGAGGAAGAGAGAGGGAAAGGGAGAGAGATTATGTTTATATTAATAGAGGCTTTTCCCACTTTCTTCTTGATGTTTTAAACATGTATGTATGTGTGTGCATGTGTGTGCTCATGCACACGTGTGTACTCATGCCTGCACATGCCCCACAGCTCATGAAGAATATGCAGGTCATATGACAGCTTGCAGGAGGGGTTCTTTCCTACCACATAGGTTATGGGGCCAAAACTCAGGTCATCAGGCTTAGTAGCAAATGCCCTTACCTTCTATGCTAAGCCATCTCATTGAATCACACTCCCCTCTTTTCCTTCTAGCTTTTGGGACACTGCTACACACATTCAGGGTGGGTCTTCCCCTTTAGTTAGTCATCTGTGGAAACACTGCACAGACAGACCCGTAAGTATACTTATCTTGGCTCCCAGAGTGTTGTAAATCCAGTTGAGTTGGCAAGATTAACCACCATACTACAGGAACTCAAAGATGGTGCAATGATATCATCATCTCCTTGAAGGACTTTTAGTTGGCCACGATGGGGCTATTGGGACTTGAACCTATGCCTCAGGGGGCTGTTCTTGATATGGCAGATAGAAGCAACCTTGAGCTGTTTTCTGAGTGGCTTCTAAGCACTGGTCCAATAAGTGCCTTCAGGGACCCTCCATAGCCTCACAGCCTCACAGTTATAGATGGGCAAACTGAGGCACAGAACAGAGAGGCCTGGCTGATCCAGGGCTGTGAATGCTTGGGTACTCAATAGATTGTGACCCTTGTCAAATGCTCAGCTCTGTGGAGGAGTCAGAAGACAAGGCATCCATCCCACTGACTATGGCCTCTGGGTTAAGTTATTTCCTAGTTTCTGTTTTCCATTTCTCCATGCCCTCTGGGAAGGGTGGCTACAAGCCTTATCCCACTGTTAGATGGTGATAGGATGGGTCCCTCAGGTCCTGCTAAGGCAGTGGTTCTCAGCCTTCATAACGCTGTGACCCTTAACACAGTTCCTCATGTTGAGGGGACACCAACCATAACATTATTTCATTGCTATTTCATACCTGTAATTTTGATACTGTTATGAATTATAAAATAAACATCTGATATGCAAAATATGCGACCAACAGGTTAGGAACCACCATGCTAAGTGCTAAAGCAAAATTTAGGTAGCAAGTCATCCACATGCCATCATATTTGATGGAAGTTTTTGGAGACAGCGCCACACTATGTAGTTCTAGCTGCCTGGAACTCATACTCCTCCTGCCTCTGCCTCCCGAGTGCTGGGATTACAGGTGTGTGTCTCCACACCTGACTTACCTAATGAGGACTTAGTGTTTTCTGTGGGCACACTCTACTCTTCCTCTGTTATTTTGTCTGTGAAGGGAATGGTGGCATGTGGAACTGGCCTCGGGAGTCCAGGCCTTTCCAAATCTCTTTTCTTGATTTGGGCATCTGGTGCCAGGACAGAAGCATCTTCCATAGGCCTTGAAAGCGCTCAGAAATGTACCTCCCACCTCGCCCCAGTTCCCGTGCATGGCAATTCCTCTCCCATCTTCTGGGTGCCTTGTACCCCACTTCTAGGGCCCCTGCCCTCTCAGTCCTCCTCCTGGGTACACAGGGCCACTTGCAGAGCCTACGCCACCTTTCTTGGGGGTTGCAGAGGGGATGAATATCTAGTAGGATGTCTTTCCGGGAAGACATATGAATTGAGAGGCGCCCATTCAAAGAGAAGGAAGGAAATGCCAGGAGTGGCAATTGAGGTCTATTCTAAATCCCTATCATTCTTGGACAGGTTTCCCAGGTCTCATTGAAGTGTCATCTGAGGTATCCCCACTTGCCCTGCCAGGGAAAGGCGAGGACCCAGGACGGCGGGACCCCTGGTGCTGGGACTCAAAAAAAAAAAAAAAAAAAAAAAAAAAAAAAAAAAGAGGCTGTTTATCTCACAACACTCCTAGGCTCTGGGTTCTGTAGTTTGTTTTACTCTGTGAGAAACACACATCTAGACCTGTTCCCAGGAACAGGAATGGTGCCTGGCATTTTCAAGGGGACAAGGTGAAGGGAGTATGCCCAGTTTGCCCCCAGTTTCTAAGGACAGCCCTATAGAGAGAGGCTCACACCAGCCTTGGTCCCTCCCACTCTGTCCCTCCCCACTCTGTCCCCAGAGGGTCTCTCAAGGAGGCCACTGAGTCTCGGTGGGCAGAAGCCATCTGAGCTTGGGGTCAAACACTCACTGACCTGGAATCTTCAGGTTTCGTGTGTCCAGGGGTCCGGGAGAGTCACATGCCCCCCTCCGATCTCTGTTGTGAGGTCCAACAAGAGCCTTGAGCGTCTGCTGCTCTGCTGAGTTCCCTGTTTGAAAACAGGAAATAGGCTGAGCGATCTGCTTCAGAGGCCCTAGCTTATTGGCTGCTGAAAGATGTACATGGAATCCCATAGACAAATGTTTGCATCACATCAGGCAGGACATGTGGTACAAGGCCACCCACAGGAGTGCAGTTTGACCTCACTTCTTAGCAGCCGTCAGCAGCTTGCTACCTATTACTACCTATTAGACACCTGAACGATCTCTGGCATTTGGAGAGTAGATCCCACAGTCCTTTATTTTAGCCCCTTTCTGGGGGCAATGACAGGAAACCACAGACTGAGAAATTTTCATATAAAAGTTTATTTATTTAATAGTTCTGGGTCTGGGACATCTAAGCAGTGTCTGGTGTCTGGTGAGGGCTCCCCTGACATATGGACACGACATGGCAGAAGGTGGATGGGTGAGAGAGAGCCTACCTTATATACCCCGGTTTCACAGTTATGACATGAATCCCTTTATGGAGACACCCTCATGAGGCTACCCACCAGACGGCCCCACCTCCCTGGGATCACAGTCTAACACAAGGATTTGGGGATACATCCTCTTAGTAGTTATTGTCCTAGCTGTGAGCCGGGCATAATGGGGACCTTCATGTTCTATTGACAGACAGGAGAACTGAGGTTTGCAACACTGATTGGTGAGACACAGAACCCATGCCTGACACAGAAGGGGTTAGAGCTATGTCTGTGATTAATAACAGGAAGTTCCAGGGTAGGCAGACAATAGTACAGGGATATCACTTATGGCAACCTGTGTGTGTGTGTGTGTGTGTGTGTGTGTGTGTGTGTGTGTCCATAGGCGTAAGAAGCTAGAGAAGGACAAAAATTAGAACCATTTTGTCCAGCCTCTGAAAGGCCTCTCATTGTCATCCTAGCCATGTTCTTCTCTTCTGGGCACAAGTAGCTGTTGTCTGTCTGTCCCCCCTTCTTCATAAGCTTGACACCTAGGAATAGATCTGAGACACTTGAGTTTCATTTTACTCACCTTAAAATTTTATATGTATTGGTCCATGCACACTCTTTAGTTCTTTGGTGTATGTGCAGGCATGTGTGTGTGTGTGCATGACCGTGTACTTGTTTGTGTGTGTGTGTGTGTTGCTGAGTTTTATATTTTCCTATTGTTCCACTGTTACCTTATTTGAACATGTCACTACTTTAACTTTCTGGAGCTGTGGTGTCCATATTCACTGTTTCTAGAGTGTCACCATAATGGCTGCACTGGTTCAAGTCGGTGTGACTGTCCGGGTGGACTCTGCTGGGTCTTTAAGGAAGAGAGCCTCCAAGTGGACTAGACTAGGACAGGCCACTGTCTGGAGTGACCATCTCGCACCTTTCCAGCCATTAGTGAGTCCTTGCCATGGTCAGTACTTCTTGTAGCCATACAGTGGACAGTGATGTCACCCCATAGCTTACATTGTGTCTCCTAAAGACTAATTATGGTAGACATCTTTTCATGGACATGTCTGTCTCCCGTTCGTCTCTTCTCTGTTCAAGTCCATTGCTTGTCTTTTATTGAATTACTTTAATGGCCGTAGAGAGGCCACACATGTTCCTTTGGGTACTGTGCCTCTTAACACCCTCTCCCTCCTGAGGCTCACATTTGCACTTAATGGATCTTGTGATGAATAGACATTGTCAACCATGATCAACTAGATCAATCTTGCCTTTCACAGTCACAGAGGTTTCTCCCTTATTTGCATCTGCTTCAACCCCACAGGTCCTCAGGAAGCTTAAGATGAGTCAATGCATGCTGAACATTAGATGGTGTCACGCTGGGTGTGAGGACTGGCAATTGATGTCATGCTAAAATCTTCATAATTTGCCTTTCTTCTCGGGGCTCTGTGCTGCCTCTCTTTACCTATTGGTCTTGTTTATGGAAATATCACCCAGTCCTGTCTTTCTGCACCACCATCACTGTCATACCAAGAACACCCATATCCACAACAATTGGTTTCTGGCATGGGTTTGCGAGAACGGCTGTGCATGCTGTGCCTCTGGCCTGCTAGTCCTGGCACCAGGGGCCATATCTCACTTGCCTCTGCCTCACGCTGCCTGGCAGAAGGCCCAGTGTGGCAAGGAGACAAGAAGTTGCAGAGAGGCTGTGTTACTCTGCCCCTCCTCTTCCCACTGTGTAGCTGTCCCGTTTCTTACCCAGTCTCTGCCCAGGCTTGAAATCTGTGAGACACCACTCTCTCTACAGTGAGTGTAGAGAGCAGGCTCTACACCCTGTGAGTTCATCACAGCAGTTAGCAACCATGGGGAAATAGTGTGGCAGTTGCTGCTTCCTCTTTTGGGGCTGTGGCCCATTTTTTGGAAACCACCTGATATGGAGGTTCTTTCTGTTGGAGGAACACAGCTGTGTCATTGTGACCAGAAGACTCTGCTACCTGCTGGGTGTTGGTTGTCCTCTGAACCCGATGGGAGGAGGGGAGCGGTAGAGAAGGGCAATGTCCTATCCACTTGGACTGCTATAACAGAATATGCTGTGCTATGTGGTTTAACCAACAAATGTTTGCATCCTGCAGTTCTGAAGCCTGGGCAGTTCAAGATTCTGGCCATGGCAGCTTCAGGGTTTGGTGAGAGCCTGTTTCTTGGTTTGTGAGTGGCTTTTTATTGTGACCACCCACGGTCAGCAGAGAGCTAGAGAGTTCTCGGGGGTCTCATTTTCAAGGGACATAGTACCATAATGTCTTCACCTCTTGACACGGTCACCTCCCTAGGTTCCAGCTCTCAGGGCCATCACATTAGGTGCTAGGATTTTAATGCCCAAGTCTGAGACATATTTGGTCTGTAACCGAGATCATGGTGGATCAGGGCCAAAACAGCAGGTATCCCTTGTGGCAACATCAACACCAGAGGAGGGAAAGGGGGCACTATGGAGTCAAGAGGATAACATTCTGGCATCTTAGAGCCAGGTGCCCTCTCTGGAATCCAAAGTCAGAGGGTGTTTCTCCTGCTCTGACCCTTAGTGATGTCCCACCACATCCAGAACCTATCCAGGCTCCATCCTCTCTCCTCCCCTTCCAGCTTCACAGCTGTGTTCCCAGCATCCCTTGCTGCCCTTAGCAGAGTCATGCTAGAGCATGATGGAAATGAGAAGACTTGCCTGTCCAGGAGTTTACTTTCTGGAAGTACCCTTTTTAAAGGTTCTTTCCATGGAGATTTTTCCTTCCCTTGGCTTGCAGCTTCCCTTCCGTCTTCCTCCTGCTTCTGCGGCGGCCTGCTCTTGACCTCATGCCACCCACCACTTTTGGCAGATATTTTTACTTATTGTCACAAGCACAACACCGTCAAGAAGCTAGGCCCATGTTGGTGGTCTGTCCCCAGTGCTCAGCACAGTGCCCACACTTAGTGGGTGCTCAGTGGATCGTTGCTGTGTGCCAGAGCACGTGTGAAAGTGAACAAACAGTGAGGGAATGAATGCAGAAAAGGAGTTGGGCTGTGGTTCCAGTTCAGGCCCTGACTCACTGCACCTGGACCTGCTACCCCTCCCTTCTCAAAGGCAAGGAGATGATTAAGCTGTCTTTTTTTTTTTTTTTTTTTTTTTTTTTTAAATGTGCAAGTACTCTGCATTGAGTAATAATTCAGCACCAGGAATTACTACTTACTCAACCCCCAGTGCCTCAAAACGAGAAAATGAATAAGTAAATAAATTGTTGCTCACCACCACTCCAGATATCAAGCACGCTTGAGACTACAATACTGAAACTCTCTTTTGAGAAGTTGAAAGGAATTGATGATCCCTGGGGAGGATCTCTCCAGGTCTGCAAAGAAACCTAAGCTGCTGAGGTGTTTTGCAAGTGACCCAAAGCTTGCTAATGTCACTCACACCTTTTTTGCAGCTGTGCATGCGTGATGAGCCTTTCAAAGATTTCCAAGGTTATTAATTCTGAAGGACTTTAAATGGGAGCCACAGGCCAAGTATGCAGCTGGCTGATTTGTGGCTACATTGAGACACAGTGGGAAGGAGGGAGGTGCCGGCCTCATTTCTGCACCACAGGCTTACAGAGCTTGTAACTGTTCTGAGCCTCCTGGTCTCCCTGAAACCTCCCAGCAGTCAGGCTTCTTTCTGATCTATGTCAGGATTTGCTGTGAAGTGGAGACAATGGAGCTTTTCTCATCAGGCCTGTTATGTGATGAAGATGTTATAAGTGCTTGGGGGCAGGCAGGGCTGGTCTGAGATCTGGGTGCTCTGCTGGTTTTTCAGGCCAAACAGATAGGGGACTACCACACCTGAGGAAAAGGCTCAGTAACCATTTTCCCCTTCCTTCCTTCTTTCCTTCCTTCCTTCCTTCTTTTCTTTCCTTTCTCCCTTCCTTCCAACAGGGTAGCCTTGGTTGTCTTGGAACTTATTTGCTCTGTACAGTAGGCTGACCTTGAACTCAGATCTGCCTGCCTTTGTCTCCCAAGTGCTGGAATTAAAAGTGTGTACTACCATGCCTGGCAAGGGCATTCTGTTGGGTGGTGGGATATTTTTACCAAAATATGATTTGTAAATACAGCTGATTCCACAAGCATTATGGGACAATGAAGAAAGGGGTACCTTGGCAAGGAGTCAGTGGGAAAGCGTGGGTGGGAGAGCTCGCTTTTATTTCTTAGTTGTCTGATGTTCTTAGGCCATTCCTACTGCTGTAACAAAACACCAAGGACCGTCTGGCTTTTTAACGACAGAAGTTTATTTCTTATGGTTCTGAAGTTTATTTCTTATGGTTTATTTCTTATGGTCAGGACTGCTGAGGGCCCACTGCAGGTGGCTGTGTCTCCTTCATAGGATCACTAATCCATTCCTGATCTCTGACTTTAAGACAGAACCACCTCCCCAACCTCCCAGGCCCTCAGGATCTCACTGTGTAAAACTGGGAAGAATTCAGACCGGTCATAGCCTCTCAGCAAAACCTTCCTAGTTCACTGATGAGCTCAGGGATGGCTTAGGACAGGAAGTAGGGTGCTGACAGGATGCTGGCTCTCATTCTGACATGGGA